GTCGCGCTGGAAGCACATGGCGACCACGTCGTTCTCGTCGGCGTCCTTGCAGATGGGCAGGTGCTGCGAGAGGCAGAAGGCGCGCGTGCATTGCGAGCAGGACGCGGAGGCGGCGCGCTTCTCTGGGGATGCGGGAGGAGGTTGGGGATGTGAGCGGAGGAAAGATTGTGAACTGGAACTGGAGCTGGAGCCGGGGTCGGAGTTGCTGAAGGAGGGGGAGGACGAGTCGCCTTGGGGACCGAGTTGGATTAGGGTGCTGTTCTTGAAGCATGTGCATTTGCAGAATGTTGGCGCGGCTGCGTTCGGAGGGTAGGTATGTTAGCTGACCTGTAGTTTTGAGAGTAGGATGCAGGTCATGCGATGTAAGGATGTGTAAGAACGAGACATGAATGCAGTTGGCTTACTTACAGGCTGCGGCGACGTAGGAGACGAGGACTCCTATAAGGAGTATGGAGAGATGGAGGCGCATCGTGTTGCCGTCACGAAATTGCCATATAAAGTACTCTATTTCTGCGAACGAATTCAGATCTACATGCTTTACACGAGGCTTCCCTCCCTGATCATGTAAATAGCATGGCTTGAGAATATGTAAACTGCCTGCCTCCTTTGTACGAGGAAGACAGTTGAAGCTTCAGTTCGACGAGGATGACGAGGATCGGATCTGGGGCCGCAAGCCCGATGAACTGATAAGCGATAAGCTACGCTCGGGCAAGCCCCACTTTCTGTGGCTGCATACCTATCCACTAGCAAGCCTCGTTAAGTACGAGTCGCGGAAGCTGTGCAATTAAAAAATGTCGATACTATCTCAAAAATATAACAGCACTTGACAACCAGACCAAAGCGTCAGTATCGTCACGACTTCACCAATTAGTCACAATGCGACGGATACCACGATTAAGACGGCCGTTGGGTCTGCCATCCTCAACTTCTCGCACTCCAACCGCCCCCTTAGTCGTGCCATGTTCATCTGCGTCTTGCCAAACTACCTCGGCCTCACACCACAGACCGACACCAGCGACCTTCCAATCCCTTGCTACCACACGCTTCTACTCGTCCGACAGACAGCAGCCTGACTTGCAAAATCCTAATCGTGGGACGGAGCTTGCGCCAGTGGTGGAGACCAGTCTGGTCCCAGCAGAGGGTGACGTACAAATAAAGGATCGGCCTTCGCGGCAATGGGGGACATTCGTTCCACCGCCTAAGCGCAGCCATGCCGACCATGCCGACGAAGTTGAAGATACGAGCTACATGCCCGCCTTAACGTCAGAAGGTCTCGCAACAGTCGGTGGTCTCGAAAGATGGTGGGAACAGCCGGAACATTGGTCCAAGTCGGTTCGTTTTACTGGCTTTAAGCCAACCAGGAAAGTAGTCCATCCGGCCCTTTTAGAGGCCTTGATACGGCGAGCTGTTGTGGAGGCCTTTGCGCTGAGGCAAGCTGGCCGAGAAGAAGAGTTAGTGGGCGCCTGGCCGACAGGAGGAGATCTTCAACGTCTTGTGTACGTGGGTATCAATGTCGCGGGGGACGGCACGGTGTCCCTGACCGGAAACGTTTCTTCTCTGTTAGATTCTCTGACCTGGAAAGACGGCGTCCGCGTAAGCGAAGAATCTACGTCCGGGACTTCAGCGCTGGGGAGCACTCCAAGGAAGCGGGTGCTCTCGGTTAAACTGGCTCAAACATACAATGGGGCAGCGGGCAACGGCTGGGAAGCAGCCCCTCTACCAGACCTCCGAATCAAGTTCGCCGTAAGTAGTACTATGCGAAGCATAGCCCGCCCATGAAGACCTCAGGCTAAGAGTTACCAGATCACGAAGCGCTTCTTCCAGCTCACCGGGAGACTAGTCCCCGACCACCAGCTGTCGAGCATCACCGACGTCCGGTCGCTGCTCCGCGCGGTCCTGAAACCGCCCAAGTCGAAGACGCTAACTCAGGAGATCCAGGAGCGCCAAAAGGATCTCGTAATGCTGCCCAACGTTTCCGTCGCGACAAAACGCGTCACGCGCGGCGATAGGGAGAAGGCGCTCGGTCGATTCAAGCTTATAGAAGAGGAACTGAAGAAGAGAAGCCTGCCTCTCCAGGGCCACGGATTCGTCCGGAAGAATAAGGAGCTGTCCCGGCTGAAGGGCGAAGCTTGAATACTTGGGGGCTGATATTAGTATGTACGATACGCATATATGCGGCCCGTCATGTACCAATACTGAGATGCAGAGGCACCTCTGCTCTTGTAAATACAATGGCATGACTTTGTGCTTTGTCTACTATGAATGAATGTGTGAATGAATGGATTGCAACGGGACACGGCTTTACCGAAGATAAGTGGTAGATCGAGGGCACCATTCACAAATTAGGTGTGCTCAGTCTACCTCATCAAGTCTACTCCATGGGGGAAAGGCACGTAGCAGATCTGGAGCTTAGCTCTGATCTTCAACGTAGTAGGCCAGGAGCCTTTCCCAGCTCTGGAGATAATCACAGGCCTACTTAGATACCTAAAAATGATGAGGCACGGCGTACGAAAGGGTATCTTTAGAGGCACTGGATATTGTATCTCGTGATGACCACCCAGAGACGATCATCGTCTTGCAACTCGAGCCTCAAGCTGTCGGAGATCTACCACCCTGCCCCTAGTTCTCAGCATAGGGGATGAGACTGAAGGATATACCGTCCTAAATATCGGTAATCCCTAGGCGTGAGAATATCTTCGTAACGACGCTGTTTCTGCACCCTGTAGTTCGCAACGTGATATTGGGGGTCATCGCGGCTGTATCGATTTTAGGAAGGACTTCGAGAAAGCTTGTGTAAGTGTACGCAAGAGTATAGCACTATGAAGGTTGCAAATACAGTAGGTACTATCTAGGATGTGAGGCATTTGCATCTGTACGTAGATTTGTACGTGTGATCATGTACCAAGCATACCGCAGGTTATCAGTCCTGCCATTCTGCCCATATACTCCTGAGGATTCTGCCCGTCTATCTGGCCCTGATGCTGTTCTACAGAAATGCATATTCATAGCCATTGACTTTATTATAGGTGGTTGGGAAAGGTGTCGGTGCCACGCCTTAGCACATCTTGATGTCTTAATGAACCTTACTCTGTGAGGTTGACGTTGTCGCCCGATTGCGTCCGCTGGAGCTCCGAGACGTTGTGGTCCTCGCGGTCCTGAACGTCTCCAAGCTGTACTCTCCTTCTCGCATCGATGTACATCATGTACTCTTGGTAGGTGTCTGACAGATTTCGGAGTCAGCCGCTGGGTTGCAGAGGGATCGACTGATCATGAGGGGAGGGGGGTAAGGTGCAGTTGACAGGAATGAAAATACATACGTGGTAGGACCTTGACGTCCTTCGGCACCAAGAACGTGTAATTAAACTGGCCTGTCGGCTTGGCATTCCCATGCTCTACATCCCTAACCTTGCTATCTACCCTGACATGCAGCCGGGTAACGGGGTTCTTGGGGTCCTTCTGGCGGGGCTCGCTGCCGTCTTCGTCCAGCAGCGGCGGGTCTGTGTACACGACTGTGGCGGTCAGGTATAGAACGCTTCCGACGGGCACGGGGTTGCGGAAGGTACACGGATCGGCGCTGATGAAGGTGGGCCGGGCGTGCGCCAAACTAGCCGCGCAGCAGAAAGCAAGCTCGAACGTCTGCTTCAGATGGAAGCCGCCGAAGATCATGGTCTGGTGCCGGTTGCGGTACTGCGGCTGCATGATGGATGCAGTCGAGAGCTGCGTACGCGACATGGCAATCACGTTCGCTGGCTGGCGGACGTGGTGGTTCGGATCGTGGTAGGCGACCTGCTTCAACCAGATCTGGTGGATCAAAGCCGACTCGGGGTCGTTTGGCTCCGTTTCCAGCAGCGAGGTCTTGATGTTCTTCTTCTTAGCCAGGGCCTTGGCTTCTCCGGCCTTGAAGATCTTCTCTTCTTCCGGGGTTGAGTATACCAGACGTGGGATATTGACGGGCTTCTTGGTGTTGGGATCTAGAGCTACCATGGTGAATGTGCATGTGAGGAGGACATCTTCGGGCTTGCTGGGCTCGCCTTCATCCCTGGCTCTGGCTACCTTGCAGGTTATTTCTACGCTGCTCCTCCCCGATGCGTACGTCACTTGCCCGCTATATTCGAGATCACTAATTTCGGTCAGCGGGTGAGCGATTGTGATACGGTCTAGTGCCGCCGTCACTGTTGTCACGCCGGGTCCGGTGTGCTTGTATACGATGATGCCTGACAATGCATCGAGATCCATAAATATGGTGCCTAGCCTAGAGTGTCCTTATCCAGTCAGACATAGCAGCGGATAAGAGGAACGGGCGCAGGACCTTATATGACCAGAAGAATTGATGTATGTATCACTCAGCCAGGGATCGCGACCCAAAGGTAGCACGACCCGGTGGTAGCTGTCACTCATCTTCTTCGGAGTAAGGTCTCTTTCCTGGGCGCGAGCCTCATCGGAAGCCACATTCTTCCCTTCTTGCTGGAGTCTCCATGCTTCTATCCAAGGCATCGACAGACGGTTATCCGTGAGGCCGCGAAATACTCCATCTGTGTGGCGGGTAGCCGTACCGTGCAAACATCTCCTAGGATGTAAGTGAGTTTTGGTCAAGGCGACATGCGTAAGAGCACATAGCCTTCGTTTAGGGATGTATCTATAAGCCATAGTAAATGTTTTGATTCATGGTAATTTACGGATGAATCAAGCATGTGAAGGTGGAAGACAATAAGCGCCGATACTACGAAGTACATGGTGGGTAAGCGCAAGCGGGATGAAAGACCCCACCAGTTCTTTCTTTTGCCTGGTTTGTGGTTTGGACGCTAAGGACTTGCATTAGTTATCCAGGGCTGCCAGGCCCGAAGAAAGTAGAAAGCGGATGAGTTTGTTGCCTATCCTCGACGTTGCAACCATCGTTCGTTCATACATTGCATTACAAGTATAAACGCCAGCACGATGCAAGACCCCATCCGGGATAATACAGGTATGTGAAAACGCAAAAAACAATGCTCAACAATAAGCGCCCGAGGTGGGGATCGAACTAAGCACGAGAATTATTAATCATTACTGCAACGTTAGTTGAGAGCTGACTTAAACTTACCCCACAACCTTGGGATTAAAAGTCCCACGCTCTAAGCCAATTGAGCTACCCGGGCTTCAAGGAAAACTTGGTATTTTCAATTGAGAATTACTATTCTCAATAGTACCCCGCATCACAGAGTCCGCGTCTCTGATTGGCGGAGGCCGCTAGTCCGGACTTAATCCGACGCATTCTCGCAGCTTTATGTACCTTTCAACCTGATTAGCTTCATGAAGACACTGTCTCTAATTAAACTTGGTATCATTTGAAAGGTCTCAATTAGACGGTTTGAATGAACCAGGTTGCACTTCGATATTTACTGTATCATCATGTAGGCTGCTCTGGCTGTGATGCTATAATGGATTGATTGATTTAAGTCGAATTGAAGCTATTCTGAGCTTATTTTCGCCCGCCCCAACCACCAAACTTCGAGCCACATCACCTATATATACCTGACTTATTATTAATCTTGAAGCCCTCGAAAGATAGGTATAATGTCAGCAGAAAATGGCGAAAATTCCTGCGTCAACCACATTCCTGTAACCCTCGATTTGCAATTGCTGTTGCTGGTTAAATATGCTGTAATTTGGTGTGGCGCGGTAAAGTTTGATGTGGTACGGAGTACGAAGTAAAGTTAGCTTGTTTTCTACGTGGCGTCCTATGTGGCGTGTGGCTATGGCGCCCAAGATGCCAAATCTGCAGGAACTCGAATAGCTCTACGAATATACCATTTGCAGAGGTGCATCAAATGCCAAAGCCTTTCTGAGCCTATAATCTATCTATTGACACTTTGGTCAATTGATTTGGCCCGGGTTTTGTGAAGTTATGGCCAGAAATACCGGAGAGGCACCGCCACTTTACTGCGCGTTTAGACGAACGAACACTTTTGCCAAGCTTTGAGGTCCATAAAAGTTATCCAATAAAAATCCGCATAAACCTTCACAAATACTCTTTATGGACAAGCACGTGACTCATCCATCACTCAGAAAAGTCTTGGCAAAAGTGTGCCTAGTTGGCGCCCGAGGGGTTATATACACAGCCCCCTCCTTTTGCCTTTTTCCTCCCATGAATGCTTAACTGTTTACGAAGTAACAATAGTTGTTAAATAAGTCCACCCCGGCCACCCAAGTAACAGTCATGCAGTTCGAGCTTGTTAACATAACATAGCATTTGAAAGGCGTGGGTATTATTGCCTTAACACGCTCTTCGTGGTCCCCTTTTATTACTCCCTTCCTAAGTAGTCCCGAATGTTGATAGGAGCGGCTGACAAGTTAACTTCTTATCACCCTTAGCATCCACGCGTTGAGCTAGCGAAATGAAACTGAAAAGAGCAGGAGCCCAATGCTCCCGGTTTTTGAACGAAAACGGGTGTAAGCGGACCGTAAATTTACCCCCGGTAGATGCTAAGTCCTTGATAGTCTCGGCACTAATCTCGCCAGGAGAGGAGGGTACGAATGAAGGGCTCGAGGATTCTAGGTGCTGGGATTCACGCTCTGGCGTTTGAGGGTTGATTCCCTCGGATCCCCAGACTTGTCGAATTGGAGGGGAGCTAGTCAACAGGGGGCCGGCCTGTTCTGGTACGCTGCTGGGCAACGTAGGCGACGAGGGCGATGATTCACCACTACTCGTGGTGTCAGCAGGGGCGTTGCGCTTCTGCTTGTGGAGGTCATTGTCCGAAATGATTGAGGTGGTTGGAGAACTTGCGTATTTGCGCTTTTTAAGCTGAGGCTGAGCCCTGAATGGCAACGTCGAAGGAGAACTGCTCAATTCGAATTCGACTCTCGCCACCGCATCGCCGAGCGCGACAACGTCATCCTCGCGACCAACAACAAATTCCATGAGGACAAGCTCGTGATCTGATATAAAAAAGCCCAAGCGCGTCTTGCGGGAAACGCAATACCATAGCAATTGACCCAGAGCTGACCAACTGAGAGACGTTGTATGGTTGACGGGATCTTTTATCATATCCTCACCGAGTAGCTTGACATCGCCGACGAGAAGACTGGCACAATGGTCGCCTAAAAGACAAGGATTCGCCTCTATTTCGCCCTTAACCACGGTATAATCGGGTGTGTAGTTTTCGTGTAGGCGGATGTGGTTATCGCGAAGCGTCACCGCTGTAAATGGGACATGGGGTATGATGGTTATTGGGAGCCGGTAAATGCTGTGCAGTGCTACATTGACGCAGTATACAAGGGTCTGGTTGAGGAAATGCTCGAGGCTCGCCTCGACGGAGAGTACGTGGAAAGCGTTTAGGATAAACGGTTTGGCAGCAGCTAGGCCACCATCGAGAGGGTGATCCCACTCGGGGCCGAGATGCTGAAGATCGCAAAAGGTGCTGAGCTCGTACCAATTTTCGACTTTGATCGACTCAACGAGTGATGAGTAAATGGGGCTGCGACCCGGATCTCGTCGTACCCTGCGCTCATAGTAAAGGAAAGGCTTATCGGGGGTATTCAAAAGGTTAAAGAGATTAAAACGGCTGAAGCGGTTAAAGCATTACAAAAAATTAAATACATGACCTGATCAAAGTTTGGATCGCTAAATGGTCTGTGCGCAACACCTCGTTTGAGGCTATTCGCAAGATTCAATCGATCAATCGATCAATCTTTCAACCTTTCAACCTCTTAACGAAAGCCAGGGAGTGCGCGGTGGCGGGGGATTGCTTCAAGCTTCAAGATTCAAAATTCAAAAGATTCAACAGTAGGTCTTAAACTTTGAGCTCTTTTGTGCCACTGCAAATAAATTCGCTCTTTTAGGCGAAAAGTCCACTTTCCCAATCTGGACGATTCTTTCCCGTAGATTTTGAGTTCGCACAAGTCCCCAAAGTAAATAAATGAATAAACTTTGGGCAAACCAAACAAACCAAAGTAAATAAAAGTAAATGAATGAAAACCTTTGGGCAAATGATTCACGAACTTTTGCCAAAAAAGCTGCATTTTAGAAACTCTTCCTGCAACAAACAATGAGTATGGCACACGCGCATAGGTGCTTAGCAATGAACCAACCAAGACGAGAAAAATCTCGAGCCCATCGTTCCTTTTCGGGAAAGGCCATCAACACCGCCTCGCATCGTAATGGCTCTCGTTCCCGTCGATCTGAGGCCAAGGCCAATTTCGAGCGTCACGGTGCTCCCGGATGTGCAACGGTACAAGTAAGCATATCCCCTTCGTCACTGACTCCCTATTGAGCCTTCTTACCATTAACCTGCGCCCAGTACCGTTCCTATGAGGCCTACACTTGCCAAGTGACGACATTAATCACTCTCAAGGCACGGTTTTACCATACGCTCCACCTTGTTCACCACTCCGACTTGAAATTTCGCATCCTAGTCCGCCGTCCCAAAGGCGCTCATTTCACCCCTTTTGATGATGTCATATTTCGTATCGGAAGTGAAAATCCCTTCCCTGTTTCATTAGAACATCTTCAGGCGCTGGAAGAGAGTTTCCTCGCCGCGCTATCTATCTTACACCGGCAGCGCATCTCCTTTCCCGTCTCGGCCGAGCAGATCGAACTTCTGCAACCCTCGGGAAGCGCGTCGAATGATGCTACACTCTTTATTCCTTACAATAAGAAGGCTGCCTGGGCAACTGGTGACCTGTCGCCGACTTGGCAGGCCGATCAACTCTCCGATGCTAAATCAATCTTCTCCGTCGCCAAGGTAAAACCCCTGGCTCATACTAGCTTATTGCACCATGTTGACCTCTCCATACCTGCAGCTTCTCCTCGGGCTCAGCAGCCCATCCCCAAGGCTTACCTTGGATCTTCCAAGCCAGCAGGCCCTAGCTACCTATTTCAGCGAGAGTGCCTATTCCCATCACCTTAAGTTATGTTTGGGCATTTCTCCCATGACAGCGGAGCTCGGCTACGAGATCATTGACGCTTTCGTCCGTCTCAACAAGGGCCAAGAGGGCCGTGACGTCCTAGAGTCATTTTTTGGTGGACCCATGCCGTTACCCAAGCCCGGTACATCGCCCAGCACCATCTATACAGACTTCGCGCAGCAGCGCGCGCGTGTTTGCGGTCTTGAAGGCCGCCACGGAAGTGATGGGTTGGTTCAGGACTCAGAAAATATATTCAGGCTCGACTCACCTGCAATATTGACTCGACTTATCTGCTGCAGAGCCGAGGTTGCGACGATGCTGGAAGAATCTTGCGAACGGCAATGGTGGAATACGGCGATGGATCTGTATGATGCCTTTCTCTGTAATACGAAGCCAATCTCAAAGGCAGAAAGGATTTGCGCCTTCGACTTGTATAACTATCGAAACAAGTGAGCAGAACACTTAATTGCGGCTTACACAGGGCGAGATTGATGACGAGATGGATTTTATAAGGATGGTAGGGGAGTGCCTCTATACAAGTATCGACCATTGGTCCCGTGTCAGGTGGGAAAAGGAAGATGGGTAGGTGGTATAATTAATAAGGGAGGATCTTTACGTTGAAACCAAACGCCTGTAATTTTATCGTAAATTTAAAATAGTTAAAAATCGATATAAAAGGTAGTTTTATGACATGGTGGCTGTTGGACTCCAGGTCTCTCCGATTACAAGAGTGATTTGTCCAGACTCATCATTGTGTAACCCACCCATGGGCTCAACCCCTTAAGAAATCAGATATCACGTATATTTAATATCTTCTCGACATAACTAGTAACTTAAGCGAAACTTTGAAGTCATCAATATAATGTCATAGAGGATGAGGTTGGCTATCCTCACCAGCTATTGCCAGTAAATAAGGCTGCCCTGATTGCCCTTCTTATACGTTGCCAAGTCTTCCAGCTTACTCGTCAACATTGTCACTCGACTTCAGTCCCTCGGTGCCGTCTCCGTAGTCTTCCCCAAGCTTCTTCCCGTTGACGAACAGAGGCTTCGAGTCCTGCAAGACGTAGATCATGCGCGCCCAGCTATCCGTGCTGGGGTTGCGCCAGGCGTGCATCGTGGCTCGCTGGACGACCACGTCGCCGGTCTGCAGTCTCGTAACAGACCCGTCGTCTAGAACCAATTCCATGGGGCCCTTCAAACAGATACCATAATCCATCGACTTGGTCCGGTGGTAGATGCACTCGTACGACGG